ATTGCCATGCTAGAGTAGGATTGGAACTTAGGTTGCAAGTCTTTTGTGGGTAGAACAATTAGAAACACTTTCTAGGCACAAGGGGTTAATTGGGCTCACCATAAGATTTAATTATTGCAAAGAAATTTAGAATTAGCCCAATTCACCCCTCTCTTGGGCATCTTGATCCTTTCACTCTCCTTGATGGTGGAGGCGAGTTGATTGCGCTAGTTACCGTCTCTTTGTGTCTCCAACTCCTGAATTCCTCCGCTGGGCTCTCTCCCTCCGGGCCACAAGCATAAAACAGAAAGTCCTCCGTCTAGTCTCCCCCCTTCCTTCGCTTTTGAGAGACCACATCTCAGCCGCCCTTTGGCTTTCCCCATCCCATACCTCTGCGCACACGGAGTAGCGGGAGAGTAGGTGCCTCCGGAACCCTCGTCCGCCTGACGAACCTTGCACGGGGTGTGCGGCGATTAGGTTTTTGGGGAGCGATTCCTCGACTGCTCGTCCGACGTCTTCTTCCTGGTGATCGCTCACGGAACCTGTCTTCTTCCTGGTAATTGCTCGCGAGGCTGCCTTCTTCTTGGTGACCGTTCATGGGACTACATTGTGAATACCTTCCTGCATCGACTGTGGTCCATGACTTTGAGCAACGCACTATGTCTGGTGCGAATGGAGCCTCCGATGCCCTCGGCATGGGACCCTTCGCTGGGTACACTCTTATCTCTGTGATTACAGTACTTTGCGTACTTACTGTATCGATCAGTATATCATATTTGCATGATGTAGCATTTGTTAGAGATATACACATGCACATATATGTCGTCACGAACCTGCTGAGGTAGAAAATCAACTTAAGTCTATAATGCTGAGGTAGAAAATCAACTTGAGAAGAAAATCAAACGTTTGCGGTCCGATCGCTGGGGAGAATATTTCTCAAATGAATTTTCTGAGTTTTGCACGGTGTATGGAATTATTCATGAGAGGATACCACCATACTCACCACAGTCCAATGGGATTGCAGAGAGAAAGAACCACACTTTAACTGATTTGGTTAATGCCATGTTAGAGACAGCGGGACTATGTAAGTAATGATGGGGTGAGGCTATATTGACAGCGTGTCATGTCCTGAATAGGGTGCCCACAAAGAACAGAGAAATTACACCATTCGAGGAATGGGAGAAGAAGAGATTAAATCTCTCTTACCTGCGAACATGGGGTTGTTTGGCAAAGGTGAATGTGCCAATAAACAAAAAGTGAAAGCTTGGACCAAAGAATGTTGATTGTGTTTTTCTTGGTTATGCTATTCACAGCGTGGGTTATAGATTTTTAATTATAAATTCTAGTATTCCTGATATGGCTATTGATACAATCATAGAATCTAGAGACACTACATTTTTTAGAATGAATTTCCTATGAAAAATGCACCTAGCATGACTGGTCATGAATTTCTAATTCCCCATGAGCATGAAAATTTTACTTCGATAGATCAAATTGAGGAACCCTATATGCAAAATTCCGAGGAGGATGACACTATAGTCACTAGAAAAAGTAAGAGACAGAGGATTGCAAAGTCTTTTGGTGATGACTATATTGTGTACCTTGTGGATGACACACCAACAACCATTGAAGAGGCTTATTCCTCTCCTGATGCAGACTTATGGAAGGAAGCAGTACGGAGTGAGATGGATTCTATTATGTCTAATGGAACTTGAGAAATAGTTGATCGTCCATATGGGTGCAAGCCTATAGGGTGCAAATGGGTGTTCAGGAAAAAGCTTAGGCCTGATGGGACTATCGAGAGGTACAAGGCAAGACTTGTGGCTAAGGGTTATACTCAAAAGGAAGGTGAGGATTTCTTTGATACTTATTCACCGGTTGCCCGATTGACTACAATTCGAGTTTTGCTTTCCCTAGCAGCCTCCTATGGTCTCATCGTTCATCAAATGGACGTTAAGACAACTTTCCTAAATGGAGAGTTAGACGAGGAGATCTATATGGATCAGCCGGATGGGTTTGTAGCAAATGGTCAAGAAGGCAAGGTGTGTAAATTACTAAAGTCATTATATGGCCTAAAACAAGCTCCTAAGCAGTGGCTTGACAAGTTCGACAGAACTCTTACATCTGCTGGCTTTGTTGTGAATGAAGCTGACAAATGTGTGTACTATCGGTATGGTGGGGGTGAAGGAGTTATTTTGTGCTTATATGTTGATGACATACTGATCTTTGGATCTAGCCTCAAAGTGATTGAGGAGGTGAAGGAATTTTTATCTAATAATTTTGAAATGAAAGATTTGGGAGAGGTTGATGTTATTCTTAATATCAAGCTTCTGAGAGAAGGTGATGGTGGGGAAACTCTGTTATAATCCCACTATATGGAAAATGTGCTGTGTCGCTTTGGGTTTAGTGACTGTGAACCTGCTCCTACACCTTATGACCCGAGTGTGCTATTGAGGAAAATCGAAGAATAGCAAGGGATCAATTGAGATATTCCCAGATCATTGGTTCGCTCATGTATCTTGCTAGTGCAACAAGGCCTGATATCTCATTTGCTGTGTGCAAGCTGAGCCGGTTTATGTCAAACCCGGGAGATGATCACTGGCATGCTCTTGAGAGAGTGATGCACTATCTAAAAGGCACTATGAGCTATGGTATTCGTTATACCGGACAAACAAAGGTGCTGAAAGGCTATTGTGATTCCAACTGGATCTTTGATGCTGATGAGCTTTATGCCACAAGTGGATATGTATTTTTGCTTGGAGGTGGTGCTGTTTCCTGGAAGTCTTGCAAGCAGACTGTCTTAACGAAGTCTACAATGGAAGCAGAACTCACAGCATTAGACACCGCTGGCTCTGAGGCCGAGTGGCTTCGTGATCTCCTTATGGATTTACCGATTGTTGAAAAACCCATACCGGCTATATCTATGAACTGTGATAACCAGACTATGATTACGAATGTTAACATTTCTAAGGATAACATGAAGTCTACAAGGTATGTTAAGAGATGACTAAAATCTGTCAGAAAATTGAGAAACTCCGGAGTAATAGCGTTGGACTATGTTCACACGTCTAACAATCTAGCAGATCAGTTCACTAAGGGTCTGTTATGCAATGTGATAGAAAGTGCATCAAGAGAGATGGGTTTGTGACCCACATGAAATTTACTAAAGTGGTAACCTGTTCTATGTGATCGGAGATCCTGTGAAGTAGGATGGTGAAACAAGCTAGTAGTAAATTGTGAGGAAAGATCCTTAGTAAGACTCATTTCTGATGCATATCTTTCCTTTCTGTAAGGTAGGTTGGTTTTTACCTTAATGTGTTCCAAGTGGCTTGCTAAAGCAAAGATGTTGTCCTACAGAACATTTTTTGAGGAACACACCTATATAAGTCAGACTGCTAGTCACAGTCTATGAGATTTAGGTGATCTCTAAATACTCATGAAAGGCACTGGAGTATGATTTATATGCTTCAAATAGAGGGGATTCCTTTTGCAGCCTAGTATCAGCTAAGGACTTTAGTGACATTCACCTCACACAAAACTGTCAATTCAAGGCTTAGTCAATTGTTCAGTTGTGACTGAATGAAACTATTGCTCTAGATGGATGTTCAACTTAACAGTCTCCATTGAAACACTGGTATATAAAAGAAATGTGGTTCTGAGACAACTTTGTTACAAACCCTAGAGTTTGGTGGGGATTGTTGGATATATTATGGGCTTGGCCCGTATAATATTTAATAAATCAAATAAAACTCTACGGTACAAAACATTAAGCGTTGTATGATTTAATACCGTATGGGATTTTGACTGAACGTTTACTCACCTTATTTGGTTGGAAATTATCCATCTTAATTGAGAAGCTGAGAAAAGGACAAAGGAGTGCCGCGCGCGCATGCCGCCGCCGGCGGCCGGGCCAGGCCATGGGCGTGGGCGTGGGCACGGGCCGAGGCCGTGGTCGTGAGCTATGGGCGTGGCGTGGCGAGGCAGGCAGGCATGCGGTGAGCGAGCGGATGGGCGGGCGTGGCTAGGTTTTGCCACTTAATCCACATAATTATGGGAGTTTCTCTCCTTGATGGTGGAGGCGAGTTGATTGTGCCAGTTACCGTCTCTCCGTGTCTCCGACTCCTGAATTCCTCCGCTGGCTCTCTCCCTCCGGGCCGCAGGCATAAAACAGAAAGTCCTCCGTCAGTCTCCCCTTCCTTCGCTTCTAGAGACCACATCTCAGCCGCCCTTTGGCTTTCCACGTCCCGTACCTCTGCACGCACGGAGTAGCGGGAGAGCAGGTGCCTCCGGAACCCTCGTCCACCTGCGAACCTTGCACTGGGTGTGCGGCGATTAGGTTTTTGGGGAGCGATTCCACAACTGCTCATCCGACGTCTTCTTCCTGGTGATCGCTCGTGGAACCCGTCTTCTTCCTGGTAATCGCCCGCGAGGCCATCTTCTTCCTGGTGACCGTTCGTGGGACTACACTGCGAACACCTTCATGCATCGACTGTGGTCCACAACTTCGAGCAACGCACTATGTCTGGTGCGAATGGAGCCTCCGATGCCCTCGGCATGGGACCCTCCGCTGGGTACACTCTTATCTCTGTGATTACAGTACTTTGCGTACTTAGTATATCATATTTGTATGTTGTAGTGTTTGTTAGAGATATACACATGCACATATATGTCGTCACGAACCTGCTGATGTTTTATTTCTGGATTAAATTGACCATGAAAATACCTAATTATCTAACACATACAGCAGCAGCAGCGACAAAATGCAAGCACCAGCAGCAGCGGCAAAAGATATACCATATATAGCTTAACTTGGTCGAAATTGAGTTGACACAAGTTAGCGGCAACAAGATGCATGAAGTTAGTAGCAAAAGATATAGCACATGCATGTCTTAACTTGGTTGAACTTGACTGTGCAAAAGATCAAGTTTTGCTTCCATCTCACATTGAGTCCACTTCATCTCCTCTCGGTCCATAATCCTTGCCTCCTAAAATTCTTGCACTTTCTTTGACAAATCAGCTACCTATACACGAAGCTCAGCATTGGTCCTTTTCTCTGCTTCTAGTTCTGCCTCAGTGTTCTGCTCACTAGATCTAGGCCAGGCATTCTTGAACCCTGTATTCTGCAAGAACTTATTATTCTTGGTGTTCTCAGCGAGCATATCACCAACAACCTGAGCCGCAGACTTGAGCTCTTCACCTTGTGTTGTTGTAGACAGCTTGTTTTCCATTTGAGTATAGCAAGCAAGTAGCTGGACGGCGCGGCAGTGGTGGGCAGCGGCAACGCGGCTCCTGCCTAATCTCGCCGTCGGCGGCGGTGTCTGAGTCCATGAATTGTCGCGGCGGCTGGCTGTCTAAGTCCGTGAATTGATTTGAGGAAAACTTACTCTACACACACGAACAACTAGCGTAGTGGTTAGCCAGGTTGGTTTCAACTCGCTTGTTGTGGGTTCGATTCCTGCTAGAGCGCATCTTTTTTTTCTCTAATTTTACCAAAGCCTGGGCCAACTCTAGTGAATGGATCACGTCGACTGGGAACAAGTAACTTAAATAGTAAGACATGTTGCTACTTTCCTACCCGAGCTGGGTTCAAACCCCACGTGTTGCAGATTTTTTTTTGTTCCCATCCGCACCATATATATATATGGAGAATATTTTTAGTTTTGCCATATATATCATATATATGTAACAAAGTAACAAAATTATTTGTTCAAATAATTTAACAAATCGTCTTGGTTTGATTCTCTTTGCAATCACTTTTTTATTTTTCTTTGCACTAAATATTATTGATAGCGGCCCTATTATTTTGGGCTAACTAGAGTATGACGAATTTAAAATCATACACTGTGACGATCCGAATAGATCGTCATGAGTTAGCGGCCGGGAATATCCACTTGTGCACAACCATGACAAAAAATAAATTATCGTCACGAATTGCGTCCGTCGGTGATGATTTGTAAATCCGTCACCAAGAATGGTTAACGAGTTTCTTGTAGTGTCATTCCATGCATGGTTCAACTCGTAGTATCTAAAACGTGGTGTGTTGCCTAACACTAGCTAGCTTTAACCTAAGTCAAACTATCTTAAGCATGATTAAGTTTCTAAAAAGTACTAATAGTTACAGTACTAATATATGCATCATTAGGCTATCTCTAACAGTAGACCCATTGCGGAACCCAAATCTAAAATGGGTCTTCAACACAATACCTATAGCCTCCAACAGAGTACCTATATGAAATATCCATTTTAGGTGCTAGGAGAGGCATAACCCAAATCTGAGTATGATCTCTCCTGATCTCTCCTGGAGACCCATTTGCAGAAAGGGTTGTCTTTTGGGTCTTGTTATTGGAGAAGACAAAAATATGTATTGAACCATTTGCCTGTAGCGCTACCTAAAGGACGAATGAGTCTTGTATTTTGGGTCGTGATTGTTGGAGACAGTCTTACCTTGATTCATCATCGTCAGACATATTTTTGAAGTATACCTAGGTGTCATAAATGTAGACAACATTTTCTAAAAACTTGGTCAAACATAAGATACATCGATCAACTTAAGATAAAGTTAGAATTATATTCTTTTTGGGACGGAGGTCGTAGCTATGACCATGCATTTTCCATCGCCATATTTTATTGACTGCATATTGGTACTACTCACAAACTGAACTTATTATCCAAACTGTAGCAACCTTTCAGTATCTGAAAATAAAGGATAAAGATCGGCATCTTCATATATTTGGGTGATACTGGCTTCTATGTCCAATAAGCTAGTCATGTGCGTTACCAATTCCTCAGGATCCTTTCAGTCACAATAACGTGCTGCACAAAATGATATAAAACATGATGCTACGTCCAATAAATTCTACTCCTTAATTTGCATTTCAGCCATATATAAATTATTGTTGTACTGCTTGTGTAAACTATTATTAGAACAAAATGTGTATCCATAAGAGCGGAGTAAAAAAAACTCACGTTCTATACATTTGATCTATATTAGTGGTGATAAACGAATCAACTAACATATATGTTTTTGTCTCTATGCACGGCACCTCCATATCCCTTTAATATGTATCTTAAATTGAAAAGTTATTTTAAGTCATGGGGGCTCTTTTTTCCAATGTCTTATTATGATGACATGAATCTATATTTTGTCTTTCAAATTTTAATATTATCAGCTGCTACAAAGTTTTTCATCTAAATGCTAAGTTTTTTTTTATCTAAATGCTAATTTGAAACTCTTTTATTTATTGTACCTTTTCATTCAAAATCCTTCATTTGTATTTTATTGAAAATAAGGATTTTAGGTCCTACACTACACATTCAATTTCCTACAATGGCATAAATGGTCCTTCAAGGCGAACGTTAGAGCTTGAAGTATGATTTAGGGGGGAACAACAGTGCTAACCTCAAGAGGATATTAATATTAAGAGTGATAATCACTATTTACTTCAAAGAAATCTAAAAAATTAACCACGGAGGGTTGGTCACATTTGGTCTACACTAACATCATCCACTTTTTAAGATATATTGAATTATACTCTCAATACAGATATGTCACAATGTTTCAGTCAAAATATCTAAGTTTATATAATGTAACAAATTTCATAAATTATTTTCATAGTGAATAGTATAATTTGGACTGAATTGTTAGTGTCAATGGTATATCCAAACATTGTCGGGATTTTTTTCATGACTGTTGAAACACCAACACACACACACGCGCGCGCGCACACACACACACATATATATATATATATATTGCACAATATTTATTTCCTTTATTTAGTTTTTTATGTACTAAGACTAATAGAATGTGTACTTATGCTTATGTGTGTGTGAGCACGTATTTATGTAATTTAGGGTTATTTAATACTTTTTAATAATAGCATTTAGAGGTTTTGTATTATGTTTCATAATGTCAGTGGCAGGTAATAATTTAGATGTATATTTAGGGGTTATTTTATATATAGTCTTTCACACATTGCTTATCTCTCAGCACTCTCCCTCCTTTCATTTTCCAATATAATATTAATATATATGCTCTATGATCTCTATTTGGTTATGATAGATTTTCAAGCTACTCTATAATTTTCAGTTTGCACTTCAAGGCATGACGGCTGAGACATGGACGACAGTATATTTGTATAGTTCAGAGTGTGCCATGCGTGCATTTGGGCTGGAAAACATCGATCTACCTGATTAATAATCTATCAAACAGCATGTGGGTTGAATAGGAATCGATCGATCTGAATGTGACAGTGATTTATTCGCAGGACGATGCAAGCTTCTACAATGCTCATCGTTAGGTTATCTCTCTTGGTGGTTTTCTCTACGATCGAGTCTACTGCCTTATTTTTTTAAGGCAAACGACGAAGGGCAGAGATTTCCCGTCTGGAAATATACTGATAATCAGTAAGGATCCGTTCGGTTTTGCTGGATTACACCAGGAATTATTCCAATTGATCAATGCTTATATAATTTTGCAAAGCAATCCAGATAGGATTCATTCCCGGCAATGATTCCCTACCAAAGGAACGAGCCCTAAAGAGTTTTTAGTACAAGGAAGATTTAGCGATCTTCCGGATGGAAATCCGAAATACATGCACGAAGAAAAGAGCGTCATTGGCGTAGACCGGGAACCATGGAAGACTTAACAAATCTACCTTCCCAAATAATCAAATCATGGCAAACTCGGTACACCACACTGCGAGCTGTGTGCCTTTCATTCCTAGATAATACCATTTCGGGCGTCCCAGATGTGCCAGAGTATCACCAGGAGGATATAGAAGACCAAACTGCTGGATCCATGCCAGGTATCAACGGCGACGACCAGATATCTACAACGTCCATAGTGGAAAAACCGAGGAAAGACCATTGCAGTCCCATATTTCCAAACTGAGTGGGCAGTCAAAGAACACATGGTGCCTATCCACCACCGGGAGACTACAGGCCTATTTGGTGGGGTGGCTAACCCCTAACCAGGCTCCAAGAGGCCACATTCACTATTAGAAATATCCACTTCTATGATGAAAATGCTAATGATAAATTCGAAATCGTCATAGAAGATCGTTTTTATGACGAATATTTCCGTTTCGTCATAGATCAGTGGTGACGATCCTGCAACCCTCCTTTTCTATGACAAAATCAGGCATCGTCATAAAAAACGTCATAGAAGAGCACAGGGTTTCGTCACAGATCACTCGCGCTACTCATATGTGATGATCTCGTTTAAACCTATGACAAAGAGGGCTTCGTCATTGAACTAATTACACATCTGTGATGGATAATATTTGATCTGTAACGAACGGCTTCGTTATAGATCTCCACACTGTGCTTTCTCTATCCGACGTGTACGTGTGGGACCAGCAGTTACTCATCCGTGACGCTTGCAATTCGTCATAAAAGTCTCTGCTCGATCCTTTCTCCATGCGACGTGTACCTGTGGGACCCTTCTCCATCCGACGTGTACCTGTGGGACCTAAAGTTACTCATCCATGATGCTTGCAATTGGTCATAGAAGTCTTCGCTTAGTCCTTTCTCCATCTGACGAGTACCTACGGGACCCTTTAGCATCCAACCTGTGGGACCCGATGGCTTACGTGTCATGTGTACCTGTGGAACCGTTCTCTATCTCCATCCGACCTGTGGAACCCGACGGACCTATGGGACCTGACGGCTTGCGTGTCACGTGTATCTTTGGGACCATCCAACCTTTGGGACCCGATGACCAGTGGGACCTTTCTCCATCTCCATCCGACCTGTGGGACCTGACGGCTTGTGTGTCACTTGTTGCCGCCAAGGTTTAATAAATTCAAACTCAAAACAAACCATGAGACCTGGGAGTCGAACCCGGGACCTAGATCAAGGAATAGACCGTCTTCACCATTGCTAGACGCTTGGTTGTGTTGACATGTCTTTGGAGTCCTAATAGTTGTATATGTTCTTTGTGTGGACTTATATATTTGATGTATCCTCTACAAGTGGAAACAAATCTGTGCCCGTTGGACTTGCGGCGGCGGCAATGGAGGATCCCCAATGTGTTGTGGTGGCTCAGGCGTCCTTTTGGATGCTAGGCGGCGGGTCTTCCCCGTGGAGCGCGGCGGCATTGGCGTTCGTGTCCGTCATGTGCCGCGGTAGAGGCTACAAATCTGATCCGCAGGTCTCCTTTCTTGCCTTTTCCTGCCTTCACTATTATGGTCCTTGCTTGAACATGAGGTATACAAGAAATATTGTA